TAACATAATCAATTTTCTTTCCTCCTTACAGCGCGCCTAAACACGCCCTTAATTAACCAAAAAAATTACATCTTTATTGATAACAAATTAATTTTTAAACAAAACTATTAAATATAAACTAAGCAAACGTGTATTGCACGTTGCTTGCACCTAGTGTTTAAATAAGTACTATGAAACCAATATCTCATTTGGAAGTGTTACGTTAAATTTATTAATATCATCTCATAAAGGCTAAAGTTGTCATATATCTCAGCAAAATCATTTAATTTACTAATGAAAACCTAAGGAGTGACAAAAATGAAATAAAGTTCGATAACAATCTATGTTACAAAAAGGCTTTTTCTATTGGCTTTTTATGCCTTTGAAATGAGTTGGTGGGCAGATAAAGACATGACCTCAATGTTTGAGAAAGAAGATATTATCTTTGCTTTTCAAAAGGCAACAATTTGAAGAGACATATTATAGTGGAGAACTCGTCCTTCCTTGTAATCTAAGAAACATCCATGCATTCTTCGCCACATCAACAGATGCAAAATCATTCATCTTCAAAGTAAAAGTGAAAAAAAAACCCACTTTAGATTATTGTATGATTGAATTACCTCGTGCTACATGTAAACTTAGGTATGGAATAGGAGAGTAAGAAAACGGAAGAGTCGTGTGAGAGCTTGACGAAGTAAATGATGATGAAAGTGTACAATTTAAGTGATGTGGCAACAATAAATTGTAGGGACAACTATTGAGTCAATCGATCTTGATTTCTGAGATAGAGAGTACATTCTATATGATTGCAATTTGTGATTTCTCTCTTATTATTTCAATAAGCAAATCAAGAAATTAGTCTCAACAATAGCGACATTATTTGATTAGATATTATAAATTTTGAGATACTTCAACTTTAGTATTAGCTAGTAATAGAAAAGGACAAATAAAGACTATGTTATCTATTACTAGTTTCAAAATTCATTGCAGTTAAATCAGACTAGGTTTTTCCCTCATCCCAAGATGTAACCTCGGGCATAGCCGTTCACCTCTTCCATTGGTCTCCACCCTTTTCAAATGGGTTAAAGTCCGATCCAGCAGAGACCTCTCTTCTTTCCGCCCTGCCTCCATGATGAGGATGACCATACAAGGGAAGACCCAACCGAAGTGAAAAATAGAAGTTAATACAATTGTACATTCCAACGTAAAGATAAATGTATTAAATAGGTATTCAATAAAAATACTTGTTTTGTACCATAGTAAGTGCATTTATGAAAACTAGGTTTAAGCAACGTACAATGTACGTTTACTAAGTTTATATATAATTTTTTTGGTTAAGAATTAATTTTATTAATAAAGATGTAATAATCAATGATGTAATATTTATGTAATTGATAAATAATTACACATGTCTATAGCATGGTCTATAAATAAACATCGTCATAGTTTTATGAAATTTGTTTGAGATAATTTTGATTCTAAGATGACGATTCAACATTTTTCTCATCTTGCACTGCTTCAATAGAGAGGACATTAAACTGTCGATATTTTTTCTCCTTTAGTTTCTCTAGATTTACATAAACTTGAATCTTCCAATTTTTTTTTTTTATAATTTCTCTGCAACGCTTTTAACATATGGTCGATTTTCTTACAAAATAAATTTTTAATAGGTTTACATAATTAATAAAAAATCGAATTATTTTTTAAATAACTTATTATAATAAAAATCAAGTTTTGAAAAAAAAATTTAAGAGATGCCTCTCCAGTATGTTCCATCAATTCAACTGTTGAACAACCAAGTGCATGTTCTGCTTCTTCACCAAACATAGTAGCAGGCTAGCAGCTACTATGCACACACTCAGAGAGAGAGAGAGAGAG